CGGTTATTGGTGAGCAGAAGAAATGGGTCGGCAGGCACATTCCGACTATTCGGCAACAGACATTAAGTGTATCATTGTTTTAGTCTTACACTCATGAATCTGTGCATGGAATCAGTTGATTCCAAGTAATCGATTTGCGTTCTAGTAACCTATTCGGGATACAGAATCAGAGTAAGAACAAGGTGAAAGATGATAGAATTAATCATTCCAATTGCAAAACGCTGGACCTAATATCGGTTCATATCTCTTCCGACCTTTTGGATGAATACGTACTGAGTGAGTTGGGATATCTCCCCTGTCGTAATTTAAAACCTATTTTTCGAAAGGTCATCCCCAATAAGGGAAAATTCTACTGACTGTTTTATTATTGAAGAACGGAAATTGATTCATAACTTTTCACATAGCGCATAGACTGTGACACAGAACCAACCCTGTTGATCGGACAGCAGGATAACTAAACATACAAAGAGTTGTATCGTCATATCTAAGGTTAGGTTACGGTTTAAAAGCATATTTCGCCACTCTTCGTTATCTTCATGGGAGTGCGACATGACCGCTCTGAATTCAGATTCCTTTCCAACTTCGCCATAGACGACATTCGGCAGAATGCTTTGTCTAGTCCAACAAACGGTGGAATCAAGTTCTTGACTTAGAATATGCCTTTGCTGTCCAGCAAGCTTTAGACGCCTTGGTGATCGAAGTGCTGTACGTGCTTTTCGCCATCCAATTACAAAGGGCTTCTTCAGGACCATCTGTATCTTGTTTGCACTCTTCTCCTGTTGTATCCATCTAGAAACAGCCGAAAACTACGTACCTCCAGAGCTTGATCTTAGCGGATGGTAGCTTTGGGTAAGATATAACCAATAATGGTAACAGTTCAGGTAACCTATCACCCTGTGAATCCGACTTTCCATCAAATTAAATTGATTTTCTGTATTCCGTCACTGATATCTTCGGAGAATCGCTGGTTTCTGGTGTGAACATTAGCGAACAATAGTGAGATTTGTCCTTGTGTTTTGGGAGCTGATAGCCTTTTTCTGACATATGAAATTGATCTCGATCTTCGAAGGCTTAGTCATATTTTGTGAATGCTCATCTCTTCGACCCACAAACTCCTGCTGTCTAATGCGAGTCAGACTTTTGAGTCGAAGGCTCCGGTTAGGGTTCCCAAAGAAAAACCCCTTCGTCGGTGTGGGCTTCCGCGATGTATATCGTGCCCTAAAGCCTTAGGCGCCCATTTTGAGAAATCTCTTTTCCATCTATCTAGTTCTTTCTTCCAATCCCAAATAATCCCAGAGGCCTCCTGTTTACGAGACCCATCGGATAGCACTCAGCGTTTTACCAGCAAGGCCAGAGAACCAAAAGGATGCGAATTTCCCTTTTCACTTGGTCGCGTTGAATACCCGCACACTATCAGATTGGTCAACCAGCTGCCTTAGCTTGAACCCTTGAAACTCAATTGAGATGTATGTTGTGTCTCCGAAATATGCATGAAACACCCTATCTCCATTATCTCCCTCGGAGTTGACAAGGTTCCTGGGCTCAATATGGGAAACGGAACAGGTTCCAACTGAATGGCATGAATCAGTGACCAGATCCTCTTGTGAAAACCACAGAGTTCAGTTCAGCTCTTACAACCATTAACCATGCACTTTCGTGTGCCGGTTTTGGTTGCACATTTGAATAAAAAGCAAAATGAAGATTAGAAAGTTGACAGCAGATTCAATCCTAAGATAGCCCATTTACATAGACTGAAGTTGCAATAATAATCAGGAGATACATGAGCGCCACTGTTTGCGACACCCAGCCATATTTCTCAGTGTCTCTAACCACCTGTGACCATGATCTCGGGGTTGCCAACCAGGAAGCCTAACGGTTCCTATGTGAGCCAGTCTCCTGGTCAGGGTTTTCATATCCCATGCCAGGTCTTAGTTTGACCGTCCTTGATTTTTTCCAACCGCTACCTGCCTCGACAAATATCGCTTGCCGTGGCAACCTATCTGGTGACATGCGTAGCACATGTCCCAATCAGCGTAATCTATCGAGGTCAACGACCGCGATTACCTAAAACTGCGCTTTACCTCAGAATTGCTCGTCCGGCTGCCCCACCAGATTCGTGCAATACAACATAGACAGCGGTGTTCGAACACCGATAGTTTACCTATACCCTGTTTCCTTAATGACAAAGTTTCTGCGCCATATAGCAGAACTGGCCGAACTGCTGCAGCATATACTCGACCCTTCACAGACAGCCGAATGTCGCGACGGTGCCACAGATGTTTTAAGTCGGCAAATGCCAATCGACACTTCATCTGCGATGGGTCCGCCAGGTGAAATGTAGCTGCCCAGATAACAAAACTTGTCTACTTTCTTTACAACCTCCTTGGTCAGGGTGAGATTGGGGACTGGGCCATCCCAGTCTTGGAGCAGCATTTTACACTTTGAGGCGGTACAACGCATACCGAACATGGCCACAATAACTCTCAAACTATCCAGAAAAACTTGCAACTAACCTGGATCTTCACTTAGTAGCACAATGTCGTCTGCATGCTCTAGGTCAGACAGCCTGCTACCTGGGAGTAAATCGATGTCACTATTCTCGCACGAGGATAGGGCTGTTTCAAGAATTAAATCTATGACCACTGTCACCGATGGTTAGAGACTCAGTGATATGGCTGAGTGTTGTAAACTGTGGCGTTCGTGCATCTTCTTAATTGCTTTGTAACGTTAGTCCACTGAACTTCTCCATTNTCCGACTCTACCCTCAACTTTCTTGTGTTTCTCCTTCTGTTCATCCAAACTAGCGGCCAAAAGACAGCATCCAAAACCGGTGCATGGTTAATGGTTGTACAACTGAAACTGAAAACCTGTTCGACCTCTTTTTGAACATGGTGAGTAGGGTGGATAGAAGTGTCACGACTGTCGGATCACGAAGAGGTTTGCTTCAGGGTTGGCTTTGATTAGTGCAGCTCGCCTTTCAGGTTGGGGATTAGAAATGTACTTTAGAGTCATTCGGAGATATGACTCAGAATAGAAATTAGTTACACGAAGGTTATACGATCTGTCTGTTGAGATCCGTTCCCTATAAAATGCAAACGAAAGCATCACAATGTGTTCGATGAAATAACTATTTC